ACCATTTTATTGCAATCAGACCTTCATCAGACCTGTAATAACAGGCTCCATGGCCCTTCTTCATCAGGTCTTTGTCTGCCATCAGGGGAGCTCCACTGGTCATACAGTACCAATGCACCTGACACCCAAGGAGGTGTGCAAGTTCTGGACCAAGGTGAAACTCGTGAAGAGCTGAGGCTCTTTTATGGGTTTGCATAGTGTTTTTTTTTTTTTTTACAACCCTGGTCCTTAGAGGGAGCTTCTGCTCCTTTTCACTGAGGGGAGCATTGAAGAATGTAGAGCCCCTTTGATACAGCAGCAAGTTGTGGATGATGCCAGATGAACTTGCTTGGCAGAACAATTTAAAGCCCCACTCATCTGGTTTGTTGGCAATATACTGGTGGAGAGTGCCAGCCCTGTTGGCTTCTTATGAAACCATGACCTCAAACACACTGTGGTTGAAGGTGGATGGTATCACGAGTATCATGCCACAGGACCATGTGATTTTTAGCCATATAATTGTTTAGCGTCCATATAGTAGCCTAATTGTTCAACATGAAATTATAATTTTGACAACTTAGTAATATTAATTTACCAGCTACTCTAATTTGGTTAAAAGGTAATCAGTTGTGATATGTGTGATTTCCAAGTGTTATTCTTGATTTTTACAATTTTACTAATATTAACTCAGAAAGTTACAAAAATGATTTACTGAGGAAATTATTTCATCATATTCTTGCTGTGCTAACACTTACTGTGATTTATCAATAGCAATGAATAAACAAAATGGATCTAGTGGTCTGATTCTATGGCAAATAATCAATTTTAATAACATTTAGGTTATGTTAGCATTCGCACCATAAAGGGTGTGAATGCTAACCGTTTGGCTGACCACTTTAAAAAAAAAAAAATTAAACATTTAATTTCACGTTTTTAATGCTGTCAAGTGACCTACATCTGTTTAGTAAGTCCTCTAACACTATCATATAATCAAAATTTTTTATCTTAGTTGAATCAAAAACACTCAAAATATGGTGGATGTTTTTTTGTTTCTGACCTTCTGGTTGGGAGAGGTATAAGAAGAGCCAACAGTTTCCATTCACAGTGTCTTCTGGTGGATTTTTTTGGCATTACAGATGTAAACCAATTGGTAGAAAAGACTCAACAAGGTAGGTCAATTTCAGTGAAAGTTAGATATAGGGCCCGAAAATGTGTACCAATTGGTTGAGCAGAACGCTAAAGGGTTAAGACAAAAGATGATCACTAAGTTTATAAAATGCTTTAATGCACAAGTGGTCATATTGAATGCGTTCAGTTTTATAAATATCTTGGGACATCTGTTGACCCCAAACTGAACTTTGTGTGTGGAGTTTGCATGTCCACCCCCTGCCTGTGTGGGTCTTTTCTAAATTCATTGTAGGTGTGAATGTGAGTGTGAGTGGTTGTCCTCTCTCTGTGTTAGCCTTGCAAGACACTGTCAACCTGTCCAGGGTGTACGTGGTCTCTTACCCTGTGACAGCTGGGTTCACCCCCACCCTGAATCAGATAACCAGAAATAAATGGATGGATGGGATTTACTGAGTCTGTTTTGTCCTCTTGGTTACTGTCATGGTTTGGATATTTATCTGTGAAGAACAAAAACTCACTCTGATTCGTTAGCCACAAATGAACCCAGGATCCCTGTTGGCTACAAGACAGTTACTGTATAGCGATTGACAGGTTTTATTTTTTGTTTTGACGACATGCACTTTTTGTATTTTGACTTTCAGTTTCCATGTAGATAAAGGCCTCTGGTCCCAAAGTACAGAACAACAGTGCTTAAAAGCAGCTTTGTTCCAGCAGCCGTCACTCAGATGAACAAGCAGCTTTGTTATTCTACATTTATCCATCCAGCAATCGCTGTAGACCATGCCAACTACCGTAGCATGTGAGGCGGTGTACACCAAGCACAGGTTGCCAATTTGTTGCAAGGCTAATGCAGAGAGGGACAAAAAAAAGCATTCACACTCAGATTCACACCTATAGCCACCCTCAGTGTGTGCATGTTTTTTGGACTGTGGGAGGAAGCCGGAGTCAACCCACAAAGACACGGAGCAAACTCTACACAGAAAGGCCCCGGCCAGACGGTGGATTCAAACCCAGAACCTTTTGTCGTGAGGCAAAAGTGCTAATCGGGAATTTATTATTATTTTTCTTGTCTATCGTCCATTTTGAAAATGTGCATGTGAGGATGGATGACTTCCCTGCTGCACACTGAATCTACTTATGGGTACAGACAAAGCACTTTGATCCTGAACTCCACGGTCGAGGAGCCCAGGTTTCAAAAAGAAAACAGGGAAAATCCCGATAATCCTGGCTGGATTTTATAAAATGATTTTTAAATATTGAAAGAGTATGTTTTAGGAAATTAAATACAGCTTTTTGACACTGCACATAAGTGTCATGTTCATGCAGCCAACAGTGTTAATCTAATTAATCATCTATGGAAAGAACTGGACTGAACTCTCAGCTGGGAGAAAGATAAGCAATCAAAAGCAACATTTTGCTTCTGTTAAATATAAAATGAAAAACTCTCTCTAGATTTTTATGTACAAAGCTGCTAACGCTTTTATGTGTTACACTGCAAAAGAGAGATTTCAGGCACAGCACTAATCATCCTTTTATTTCTCCTATAGGTCATGCCAACCATTACCTGGCAGCTATTTTCATTCCAGTGGGTGTCCTTGCAACTTTGGCCCTTCTCACCTTGTTCTGTGTCTGTCGTCCAAGAGATGAGACATATATAAGGCAAAGTAAGATGTTTACGTCCAGGAAGTGCTCATTTTCTGTCGCCTCTGTCAAACTCTGTGATTGAATCAGTTCTGAGAAACAATAAACGTTCAACAAGATCAGTGTGGAAATTACTGTGAATTTAGGGTTATCATGCCCTTTGCTGATATGCTTTTCACTGCTTTTGCTAAGTCATGTTGAGTCACCACTCATGAAATGTGAAAACACACCAGTTTCCTATTACTCATTATTCAATCTACTGTTTTTTCAGCTATTGCAAAGCTCTGGAATGAGGTACAAGTCTAATGAACTCTCATGTGTTTACATAGATTACATCCTTTTTCCTTTGTTTGCGCCAAATTCATGGTTGTGTTCTCCTGTAGGAAGGGCGAGGTGCTTCTCACAAGTCAAGGGAGCCAACTCATCAGTTCCCCAGAGACTCATTCAGTACAAAGCAGCAGCCCTCAACACCTTCAGCAGCCAATCTTGGTACAGCTGAGTAAAACGAAGACTTCTTATGTGAAATGCTTGACTCACTCGAGAAAAAATATGCTAGAAACAAAAAGATGCAGCTGTGATACCGTTATGAGTCCGAGTTGCACTTAGCTGTCCTGTTCTGTAGATTATAGGTTAATGTATCTCTGTAGGTTGCTAAAAACATCCTTTGATGCATTCTCTGCTCTTGTTTTCTCCCTGTAGGTCCGGTCCATGTGCACAATCCAGGCACAGTCATCTTTAGCTTGCTCAGTCAATTTACGGGTCAAGTCGGGCCAACGACCGAATGCGGGAAGACAGCTGAGAGAGCGAGGAGAGAGGAAGAGGATGAGAGAAACTGTCCAGTGTTTCATCCTGCATCTTCTCCCAGCATTCATCTCTCTGAGGAGGAGAGGAGCGGAGAGGATGACACCATTTTCTTCCCTTCCCAGGAGCAGGGGAAAGACTCCCACATGTCGAAAGAGGAGATCCTATGATGCATCTCAAAAAATTCAGAAGACTTGGATACAACAAACTTTGAAACCACAGATGAGTATGGATCATATTCGTCTTTCCTCAGCAAGCTGCGGATGCACTGACTTTGTTTCTGCAGCTTCTGGAAAACACTCACCTCAGAAATGTATTAAATCTCGGAAGAACAGCTGCAAAGTGGTCTTCTTTGTAAGTTATGATTTACAAACTCTTGTATATACTTTTAATAAGCTTCTTTGGCTCAGTGCAAAGAATGCCATCCAAGGTGTAGAAAGCTTTGTTAGGTAGTTATTAGGTAGTTTTAGTCAAATTTATTAAGTTTATTTTAAATGAAAAAGAAATAGAAGAAAAATGTACACAGAACATCCACATGTGATATTGAAAAGCTGGCTACAAAAGCAGCTAATTATGTCTGCACATATATGTAGATATACATGAAATATGTTTAACTTTATGTACTATAGTACATACTTTCCTTTCACTGCCACAATGTCCCCTCTGTCTTATCAGTTCCAAGATTTTTACCCACCACAATTTTATACACTTCAAAGTCACAGATGCCAAAATGATCATCTGTCCTCTCAGGAAACAGCAACAGTCTCAAACTTTCCACCTTCTGGCATTTCACTGATCAGCACGGCGCGGAGTGCCTTTTAGCTCCATTTAAATGTCCAAAAGCAGTGACGAATGTTTTCCATCTGGGATGTGCCACCGAGTGTCTTGTTAGGTTCTCGCTCCTCCAAATTCCAGATCTGGTCTTTAACACATAGGTTGGTCACATTTCCCGCACACTTCCTGGACGGGCTTGGACACTTCTTCATCACATGCAGGTTGTGTGGCAGGTTTTTCAGCCAAGAAGTACCCTAAGCAGCAAGAAATGACAGGATGGTTTTAATAAGAATTCAAACATTTGGGGGTATTTATAACACAAAAGTTCTACTACTAACCGTGAGTGAACCTAATCCAGACTAAAAATGGCTTGATTTTTGTCACAACAACCAGTGCAATTCCTGTACACAGGAGGGCAATTATCACCAGGAACCACACCGTATCTATAATAACACATGAGAGAGTTAGTTTCCATAATTTACATCAGTTCAATAATTTCACAGGCAACACAATTTGGCTACTTTACCTGCAATCGGTTTAGTGGCGAGCCTGGTGGTGGTAACATCAGGTGTCGCCACTAGAGGGAAACATAAAAAAAGAGAACCTTATAAGCTCACTGCAGGCATTATTAGTTCGATGACAAGATGACACTATTGTGGCTTGGATTTGTCAGTGAGCTCACTCTTTTGTCCCTAATGTTTAACTTATTTCATCATGTGTTTGTGTGTGTGTGTGTGTTTGAATGTGTGTGTCCTTTCTCCACGGTTACTACAGAAGAGGCAAACAGTTACAAGAACATGCAAATAGCTTCCAAGCATTATTACCAGCTCATTTGTTTGGATTATTTTTAGTCATGTAACAGTTTCAGCTGAATCAGAAACATTTTAGGGATTCTGACTATGACCTGTCCACATTACTGTATGTAGGCAGGATTACAGTACAGGAAAACACATGCTACAACTAGGGCCTCTACAGTGACATTTAAAAAAAGAGACACAACAGACTGTTTTGCTCACCTGCCCTCGTACAGAGCCCCGAGTGATAATAACACAGGACACGACATTAAGACTTTGAATCAGTTAACAGATTCATGTACTACACCCCTAAATCTGCCTGTCTTCTAGAACTTGTTAACATGGATTGCTACAGTGTTACTGAGTTATGTTGTAGGGGGGATGGAGGCATGAAAGGAAATTTCCTTTAAGCACTGCGCAGAGCTTTGCCAGGAGGCTGTTGAGGTAGACAAGAGAAGTGCACAATTCTCACATTCTCACCTGTGTCTGTGCTCTCCTCTGTGGTTAGGTTTAGGCAACTCAAGCACTTCACATGAAGTTAGTAAATTCCCTAACCTTTGTGAAGTGCTGATGCTGCCAAAATGTAACCATAATTAAAAAAAAATCTGTTTAAGCTGTAAGTTGTAAACAACATTTCTTCATTGTGTTTCATGAAAAATGCGATCCGATAACAAATATTTTATTTTTTAATTTGTTGTTGTTTTAAACACTTTTAAACACTGATGTTATCACCTCAGAGTGCATACTTGTCCCTCGCAGACACAGTGGGTTTAAGGTGGATGACATCAGCGTTAAAGGCATCTAAACTCATTACTGGCAGACTGAAAGATGCTAAAAGGCCACATAGAGCTGACTGACCTCTGTAGGGTTGTGGGTGATGACTATCTATGATTGGGTTTCTCTAAGCAAGTCTTGA